ATATACATAACATGCGCATATACATCTAGATACAAAAAACATGTATAGGTATATATGTATATATGGACATATCCCCCATGATGCACCGACCCCCTGAAAACACTGTAAATACCCATAGAAACAAGCATGTTTGCATGATCGGATTTTGGGCACGCCGCAGTTTTGGTTTGGATTTCATTGCATTCGGCATTCTGATCCATACAAGTTCTTCACTAAGTTTATTTGAATTGAATACAACAATCCTCGAATCCTGGATTCTTGGTTTTCAACTGGATTCTTGTTGATATAACCCTCTTATTAAATGAAGTTGAAAATAGTACGGAAATACAGAACGCACAAAGAGCACAGCACAAAGAGCACAACAAAAAATGTATCTATGGCTGCTGACAAAACTGCTTTTTTGTTGTCCTAGGAAAAGGTTAGTTTTAAGGAAAACCAACGGTTTCCTCGGAAAAAGTTGGCTTTTGGAGCACAGGCCTTCCAAAAAAAAATCGTCGAAGGAAAAAGTTGGTGTTGCAACACATGGCCTTGAGATTTTTCTGAAAAAAAAAACGATGTTTCCTTAAAAAAATGTGTTTCTTTAAGGTCTGGGCCGCAAAAAACACTTTTTCATAGGAAGACGTTGGCTTTTCTTGAAAGCAGCTTTTTCCTAGGAAAACAAAAACAATTTTTAGCAGCAACCATAGTTTCAAAAAAAATTGTTGTGTGTGTGTGTGTGCTTTGGTTGTTCCTAGATTTTTTGGTTGTTCCATCAGGGAGGCATTTTATTTTGATTAAATCTTGTATTCCAAACCCAGGAATCTAGGACTCCACAAATTTCGTATTGAATTTACTCAGTGCTAATAAAGGATTTACATGGACCAGGACCTCCAGGATTCCCATATTCATATATTCAATCCAGGATTTCTGTATTAAGTTTTGTTTTAATATGGTATTGATATATACCAGCACCAATCCAAAACCAGGAATCCAGGATTACAAGTTTTTTGTTTTATTTCTGATTAAAAATTATGAGGGATGCATGTAGACCAGAATCCATTCCAAAACCAGGACTCTAGGATTCCAGGATTTTCATATTAAGTCTAATCAAGTTTAACAAGGGATATATGGGCCAGGACCATATCCAAAATCAGTAGTCCCAGGACTCCGGGATTCCCATATCAATATATTCAATCCAGGGTTTCCGTAATTCTAATTGGAATCTTTGTTCTTTCATCAGATGGACAACCATGAATCAAGGATTCCAGCATCCCATGACTCAACGAAGAGGCTACATATACGTACATGACTGAAATACGATGCTTCGTGAAAAAAACTTTTGCGTGGTGGATCATGGCGCGGGGGGGAGCATATGTATATATATATATGTATGCATACATACATACATACATACATACATACAAATTTATGTTTATATAGATAAATATGAAAATATCTTCGCATGTATGTAATATGTACACGTATATATAATATAAATAACTATGTTTATATTTAGGTTGATGTTTATATGTGCTCTCAGCCTCCATGATCCACTGGAAAAGCCTTTTTCAGCAATAGAATGTATACTGACGGGCTCATGCACACATGTTTGGCAAATTTGATGAGGAAGGGAGCTCAATGCTGAGGAAACTATTCTATACATATCCCGCCTCTTTTCGCGTCCGCAAGAACGAAGGTTTTGTTGAGCTCTTTTCGAGCAGGGCCCAGGCACTCGGCAAGGTAGGCAGGAACTCCTCGCGCGGGGAAACCCTAAGGAGCAGGTCTAAACCCTAAAGGGGGAAAGAAGACTTAGGGTCCTACACGGGGGCCTAGAACCATCCGGGCGGAAGAGGGTGGGGCCGAAAAGGTGCTCTGGAGATCGCTATGCTCTGCTGCAAGCACGGGATAGTTTGCATCCCGCCTCTTTTCGCGTCCGCAAGAACGAAGGTTTTGTTGAGCTCTTTTCGAGCAGGGCCCAGGCACTCGGCAAGGTAGGCAGGAACTCCTCGCGCGGGGAAACCCTAAGGAGCGGGTCTAAACCCTAAAGGGGGAAAGAAGACTTAGGGTCCTACACGGGGGCCTAGAACCTTACAGGTGGGCATGGGACCACCCGCCTTCACGGTCCTTGATTCAGATGTGGAGCACCACACTTGTTCGCGCAATGGCTGAGAAGGAGAGGGCCGGCGAAGCGTCTCAACTCAGCACTGCACGCTCGGGCAGCTGGAGGCAACTGCTGTAGCAGGAGCTGAGCTGCCACCTCCTGTAGATAAAACTCTACGGTCTTGATCTTACTCCAGCGACCGCGCCAAGCAACCAAGCTTATATCTTCCGTCTCCAAGTACAGGAAAGTGGCCCCGGAGCCGCGGAGGACTCCGGGTGTGGCACCTTTCTCTGCCAAGGTGTGAGGAACGCCTAAGCGACTCATTATAGCATTCCGTTGCCTTCGGTAGGTATGCATAGAACCCCGGAAGAGGCGGTCTTGCAAGGGCAAATGGCCAAAATGCTGCTCAACAAAGGCGAGGGCGGTGGGATCTTCGAGGCGGCTGCGCTGACGCCGGGCAAACCGAACAGTCTTCGGATTGCGCACGTGCACGTAAGCCACGCGATCCGCCGACATGGCATCGCTAGGCAGCACAAGGTCGGAGCGCTTCAAGGGGATGATTTCTGACGGGTGCAGCATACACAAGAAGCCAATCAAGGTGACTGCAGCCCAGTCCATCCAACCCCAGCAGAGTGCTAAAGCGGTAGCAGCTTGGATGATAGGTTGCGAGATCACGGGGCGACATTCGCCAGGTTCGGCCAACTGTCACTTTTTGTCAATTTGCCATGCCGGTGTAAGATGGCCTTTGAGCTCAGGGCAGCGATCTTGCACAGCTGTGATGGCATAGACAAAAAGGTACCTGGGAAACACCTCGGAATACAAACGAAGACCGTTTGCCCGAAGCGCCAGAGTGGCACTCTGAGCATGGGAGAGTACAGCAGGAAGGGAAAGCTGCAACGTGCTTTCCAGCCAGACTACAAAGGCATCACAGGACTTAGTCATCTTCTGCTTTGCGGCGGCTGCAAAACCCGACGACAAGTCAAGAGCACCACGAGGAGCCCTGAAGGTGACAGGCCCCGGATTCCTCTCCACATCCCCCGCGAGCAGCAGGAGAAGACGAAGCCAGTCCGGGCAAGCGAGGGACCCAGGCTGCAGCGAGCATGATGTCGAAACGGTATGTCTTGCCAGCGGCCAGGTCAGAAAACCAAAGGGGAACCTCTTTGGTAGGGCTTGCCACAGGGCGGTTGCGAGACGGCCCGTCACTGCGATTAGAGGCAGAGTACACACGCAGACCCCCTGGGTACAACCCTGAACCTAACACGTAAGGGATGCAACCCTTAAGCACTGCGGACAAGGCTGGGCTGCTGGAGCGACCTTTGGCAGCAGTCCCAAGGAGCACACGACTGTCGAAGAGGCCAAGAAGTCGACAATTGGATATCCCTGTGTTGCACAACGGAACTGACGAAAGAAGCCAGTCGAGCTCGCTTCTTTTTATCTCGATTGGGACGCCGCGAATCACCCCTTGCGGTCGGATCGAACCCATCTCGACTTTGAGCGTGAAGCCGGTGGGTTTCTTCGAGGCGGACCACTCACACGGAGCAGGGCGGGACTTAGCTCTGACTCCGCTACGGGTGGAGAGGGTGGGAGAAAAAAGCACAGCTCGTTGAGCAGATGTGTCTCGAGCCAAAATGGCCACGACCGTCTATTTCACACCTAGGACATCCACATAGTACTGTCGCACAAGACGTGGATATCCCTGTGTTGCACAACGGAACTGACGAAAGAAGCCAGTCGAGCTCGCTTCTTTTTATCTCGATTGGGACGCCGCGAATCACCCCTTGCGGTCGGATCGAACCCATCTCGACTTTGAGCGTGAAGCCGGTGGGTTTCTTCGAGGCGGACCACTCACACGGAGCAGGGCGGGACTTATTGCCCCAGGTCAGTCCTTGGGTTCCGCCCTGCTTCCCTGTGTGTTCCTTGGAAGGAAACGGGACTGGCCGTCCGGGAAAACCAGTATCACAAGTCTCGAGCCCAATCGAGTTTAGAAAAGGAATGCAGAGTAGGAATTGAAAATCCGGTTGCCGGCGGGACATATTTTCCTCCCAGCGAATGAACTACTTGATAGTCCAATCTGCTGGGCCCGTCCGCTAAATTGGATTTTGACTCTACTCTGTCGATGTAGACATCAAGACCTGCAGCTGCGGCTTTCAGCCAATAGTCACCCACAAGCGGCGAAGAGTCCACCTAGGGGCTATAACCTTTGACCAAACATGCAGCTGCAGAGTCATTGTCGATGAAATGGAAAAGCTTGGTGCGGCGAAGAACAGCGGGCCAGGTTGCAAGAGCAAGAGGCCCCGCCAAAAGTTCTAGCTGTCCCATGTATGATTGCCGGTGAGCCCATGTGGCTACAAGGGCAGGAGGAAGTACCAGTGAGGTGTATTCCATCCTTTCTCTCATGGCCCCATAAAGAAGAACTGCTCCCAGGACGAATCTGCCCCCTTGGCGTTCTGGGACGTCAGAGGCATCCGTGTAGAGAATCGGATGCGGAGTGTCGTTCGACATTTGAACCGTTCTTGGAGGAGAAAGGTTCACGAACTCCATCATCAGCTGTAAGCTGACTCGAAGGTTTGGGTCGATGGAAAATGGGGGTGAAACAGAATACTGTCTGTCTCTGACGGACTTAGTACAACATCGACCGACTTTGCCGAAAAGACTACTGCAAAGGAAGCCGAACTTGCTATGCTGCCAGCTAAGGAGGGAGTCAACTCTCCTTGCGACAAGACGGCTCGAACCATCTTGCAGAAATTAACCTTCCGTGAAGGCTTGGCTTCGACAAGGAAGTGCTTCTCAGCGGCCAGAGCTTGGGTGTTGAACGCAACTCCCAAAACATGGCAAAATTCCGCCGGAGGCTGTGATTTCTTGCCATCCTTCAGAAGGGCGACACGTATAGATAAGAAGGTGGAGGGCCCGAACCAGGAGCCTGGACAGCCATTCAGCCACGCGGTAGAAGTTTGGGACTGCATGGCCTGCTCCGAATGGTTGTCCGTAAATCTCAAGCAGCTTTGCCTGTTTGTTTGCGGGGTCGTACACCGCGGTGATGGAGATGGAGACTTGCCTGTCGGGCAGAGGAATCTGCCTATAGGCTCCCTTCATGTCCTCGCTTCCTACACAGGCGCCCTCCTTGAAGGTCTCCTGCAGGGAGCGGGTCATGATTGCCAGGTAGTCGACGTTGGCCATCTCTATCTTTTGAGTGCGATGCGCAGCAGAGTTGTTCAGGCAAGCTGAATGGTCATCGATACGGCGAAACTTTGGTTTGCCGGATTCGTCGACCCCTTGTTCTAACCCAAAACTTGGCACCACATTAAAGAAACTGCCGTGCCTGTTCTGGATGTCTTCCAAAATGAACGGTCCAGCCATGGAAACCTCGGCAACTTCCTTAACCGTCTTCTCCCAGATGGCCGCTGCGGTTTGTTCGCCGGATGACTCGGCCATCCGCACTACACGATTCATCATGGTAGTCCTGTGCTTTTTGGACAGACTGAGAAGTTCTTTGACGGATATGGTCGCTGGCACGTCGTGTTCGAAAAAGAAAGGTGAGGACAGGGCTTTGCCCACTATGGGCATGCCGGTCAGGCACAGAGAGGGGACCGATGTATCTTCGATCCCATAACGGTCTTGCAATATCTCCATGAGAGCGGTCCTCGGTTTCCTCCCGAGCTTAAGGGCGCTGGCGGAAGCGAGTTTCTCATGGCTGCACTGCTTGTCGCGAACTTCCGCGCACTCTGAGAGCTGTTTTATCTCACCCAGTGTTTTCAATCGACGCTTTGGCAGGCTCATTCGGAGGGACGACATGTAATCCAAAGCCTCCTGATGATCCCTCTTCAGGGAGTCGAAAGAATCAAATGGGTGGACGAGCTCAAGAGCTCTGTTCAGATGAAGCTCGGGGTCATTTAGTCCGTCCGGGATCAGTTGAACCCTCTTGCCGTAGCTGGGCTGCTTACCCGACTGGATCGCTGTCTGCCTCAGCCATGGTTCAGCTTTAGGCTCCAGAAGGTTCCCTTGGGAAGGGCCAGGAGAGCCAGAAGCCTCGTTCTCTAGGAGATGGGCTATGTCGTTTAGCTCATTCGAGACACCTTTGCCAGATCTCACCAAAGGTGCCCCCGGAACGAACGAACCCATTCTAGAGGCAACAGCTTGACTCAAAGGAGCATTTGGCCCGGAGAAGACTTCAAGGAAGGGACCTGACAATTCGGCATCGGAGAGGGCGGAGGCATAAAACTCGCAGAATCCCGCGGAATACTCCCTTTCGTCCCCAGTTTTGAATTGCAGAACTTTCCCGTCCTTAACCAAAGGCTTCCACTTCAAATGGGAAAGACCGGTACGCGTGCAGCACCTATCGGACTCACACAAGGTATTCACAAAGTGATCCTTGAGGGAAGTAGAGTTGACTATCATTATCTGATATTTCCTGCGGCGGCTGCCACGGAACATACAGTTGTGATAGTACACCACGAAGACTCCCGGGAGGCCCATCAGTCTTTTCCAGGCATCCAAATTAAGGGCAATAGAACGCCCAGGGGCCTCTAGGGAGAAGAAATCTCCTCTAGCGTGGATTTCAATGCAATGTTCCGCACTGAGGACGGCAAGCTTCGTATCCACATCAACCCTTGACCTAGACTTCCTGGAAAGTTTGGCCAACTCCCATGGGATTCCCTCTGGAAAGGATTCACTTCTAAGTGGACGAGGTGGGTTCTTAACACCTTGTATCGGAAGCTCCCGAGCTCGGGAGAACGTAGCACAATTAGGGGCAAAGTGGGAAAGGCGAGCTTCACAAGTGCTAGCCTCAAACTCCACGCTATCCCGAAAGACGTCCCTACCCCGAAGGAGATCCCAAGGCTCAAGAACCTTACTCACCCGGAGAGAACCCCCTAGTGAAACACGCGGCTCAACCTTTTTGCAAGCGGGCTCTGCAAGAGGTCTGCCGAATCCGTACTTGTCCGCCTTCTGGGCCCCTGCCTTTTTGGCGGCCTCTCTCTTAGCGGCGGCTTTCTCCTTCGCCTCCTTCTTCTTCTCCCGCTGTTTCTTTCGGAAATCGGCGGGGAGAGGGCAGAAAGGAAAGTGCTTACTTCCGCACACGAGGCACTTCTTCAGGGCTTTCGGCGGATCGCCAGGGTCCTTGGCTTCCTCCTCATAGTGATCGGCTTTCCGCTTGGTCCCTCCTCCGTCTTTCCCCTAGGAGACCGCAGTCGGGGCGCGCTCCAAACCCTGGTCGGGCAACGACTCAACACAGGGTCCAGCAAGCGCCACAAGGCGATCGTATCATCATCCAGGTGATATCGGATGGCCGTATCCAAGCTGCCGACACTACGGGACAGCCACTTTAAAATTTCCTCGTGGAGGGCACGGTCGAACCGCCTAACCTCACTCAAGGTCGGGTTCCTCATGCCCACTGGGACCACGGCCCTCATTTTACCTACATACTTGTCGGTGAGGGCACGGTAGGTTTCAAAACCTGCCACTCCCACCATGGCAAAGGAACGCCCGCGGAGGTCCAGGCTCTTCCGCATCATCTCAAGATCGGCCACCTTCTCCCCAGGCGGGGGGAGCGTCTCGGAGTCCTTCACCTTCAACTGGTCATCTTTGACCGTGATCTCAGGCTTGCCCTTCGGCAACTTCCCGGAACGTGCAAGGATGCCCTCGTCCTCCATGCTGATGTAGTTCTCCCAGGCCAGGTGCTCGTAGGACGCCCCAGGCGGAACCAGGACCTTCGACACCTTGGTGAGGGTGAAGAGGCTCGGGCGCTCGGTGTCGGAGGCTGGCGCAGGCATGCCATTCCCGACCGCGCTTTTCTCCATCGCCACAGCCGAGCTGAGGTCCACCTTCGCTTTTGGCTTTTCAATCTCGGACTTTGCCACCTCGCGGGCCATAGCCCACAGCTTCCTCACCGCGGCGGCGTCCTCGCTGAGGCGGAACTCCTCCCACAATTCCGCAGGAGACTTCCGGAAAACGACGACCTCGCCGTCGTCTTCCAGGAAAGCTGCCCTTGGCAGAACACTTCCCCGGAGGAATCCTTCCAGGTCGTCCGCCTTGGTTATGCGGTATGCCAACTGTTCAAAGGTGGCTATCCCCATGCTTCCCAAGAGCAGGTAGTCACTCTCCGCCACACCAAACCTCACAGCAGCCTTTTTAAAGGCCACTGGCTGGCTCCCAAGCGTAGACATCGCAAGAGGATCGGCGCTGGCGGGCAGCCCTTCTCGCTTCAGAGCTTAAAGGGGCTGCAGCGTTGGAGCGCCCACCATGTCACAAAGCGCGTGACTAGCTCATTCCAGCGGAATCATGCCTACTCACCAAGGTGCAAGACACGCAGCTACTCAAACTGCTCAACTCCGCACATTTCTCTGGAAAAAACACATTCACGAAGCGTGCATCCTACACTGGTGACCCAGGTTCATGCCTTCCGACTCGCGACGCTCCGCAGCACCTCCGGGAGCATCTCCGGAAGACTCCGCCGGCGCTGATGCGGTACTGGCACATCCGGGAGCGCCAAGCCGAAGCGGTTCTTGGTGTTGCACTTCGGCACCAGGGGGACCAGGAGGTTGAGGTCGCTGCCAGTGCCATTCGGTGCCAGGTGGAGCTTCGAGGCCGCCGTCGGCTTCTCCACCATGACAAAGTTTTCGACGATGTTCATCGTCGCTGTAGGGCTCTCCACCTTCCATTGAGGGAGAGTACCCAGACTCGTCGTCCGAGCCCTCGGCCAGGCAGCTGTTCAGGACGCCATTGTCGGGGGCGTCCGCAGCGTCACGGGAGGTGTTGGGGAGCTTCCGGGGAGCCCCCCCGGGAGCACCCCGCGGGTGTCTGGGGGTGTCCGGGGGGCGTCCCGGGGTGTCGAGCTCGGCAGAGTCGTTCCTCTCGACCTGCTCCAAGTCCGGGTCTGGCACTGGAACTCCTGTGCCAAGAACGACCTCCTGAACACCCCGATCTCTGCCCTGGAGTGGACCAGGAGGAAAGGAGGTTTGGGTGTCGTCGCCCTCAGGTCAAGAGCCCTGAGAGAGGGAAGAACAAGGCGAGACTTTGGATTGCTAGCATAAAAGGAGATGGGAAGCTCCTGCTTGAATCCCATGGAAGCAGCTGGGAGGTGGATGACCACTCCGGCAAGTCGGCTTCAAAGGACATGGAGAACTGGACGAACATGCCCGCCACCATTGGTGGAGATGTTATCCTGGTGAGGGCAGTTTTTATGGAGTACCTCAGAGCTGGACACCCAGTGGGCATGACCGTCCTGCCAAGAGCTTCCCAGGTGAGACCTTCCAGCCGCAGCCGGCGGGGTGCCGCCATCCACCGCTCCATGGCTCGATTCTACGGCTCTTCCCGCACTAACGAGGTCCAGGAGACAGTGCCAGAGCGCAGGGTGCGCAAACACATCTCCTGTGCCTTCAACACCAGCAACTGAGCCTCCCTCATGTAGGTGTCAGCCATGGACTCGTCCTTCGACCCCCAATCGCCGGCAAACCTTACAGCTCTCAGCGATATGCCCAGGGTCTGCATCATGGACGTCAGAGTGGCCTTTGCACCGTGCCAAACGCGAAGGCTTTCGCAAAGAAATCAACTGCGTAGAGCAGGGAGATCGGCGTGTAGAACCCGGCACCCTTTTGGACCAAGGTCTCCACACACACGACCACAGAGTAGTAGCTCATGAAGCCACCTTTCGGGTCTTTCGACGCGACTTCCCGTGGCGGCCTTGCTCGGGGAGACGTGCACCCGAAAGCGGGCTTCGTCCAGCTCACCCGGTTTGCCAACCACTTTTACCAGGTCCATCTCAACTCCGGCCTCGAACAGCTCGCCGAAGTAACCCAAGGCTTCCTGGATAAAGCGCAAGATGCCTTTCTCCTCCTTCTCCCCCATGCTGCCTTCGACCACCGAGGGGATCCCGCCCCGGACTCGGGCAGACAGTCCTCCCTCGGCGACCTTTTCAACCTCAGCATGGGGTGGGGGACGAGCCGCCCGCTTTCCGAAGTTGAAAGCCTCGCTGCCGCTGTCATCCTGGACAGTTTCTTCGCGGGCGCCCTTCCACCTCGGAAGTTGCCAGCCACCTTCCTTCTCTGTTTAAGAGGAGCAGCTTTCTTAACGAAGGTCTCCTCGGCACTTCAAGGAGGCAAAACTCCTCCCAGAGGCCGGGGCGGCTGCCGACGTCTTCCCCCCCTCGGCTTCGCCGGCGGAGCGCCCGCCGACTTCTTTGCCCAAGGAGGCAGCGGCCCATCGGTATCACCAATCAGGCTATCCAGAATGGCCTTCTGCTTCTCGATCACTCTGAGTCTCTGTCCTCTCTTTTGACCCCCTCTTCTCCCATCTCTCTCTCCGGGACGGCTTCGGAGGATCGATGGGCTCGGCTGGGATCCTAAGGTTCTGAGGCTGACATGCTCTCCACCAGGCTATCCCCAATGTCCTTCAGACCTCGGTCCCGGCCAGGGGAAGGAACTCTTCCTTTATGGAAGGCAGGGAGTGGAGCCAAGTTCCAGTCAACCTGGTCTCCTTCCTTCCCTTTCTTAAGGAGCAGGAGGAAGTCGGTAACCTTGTCTCCACCAGACGGATATACTCATCTGGCTGGCAGCGGGCTTTCAGCAGGCTGGCGGCCTCGACCCTCGCCGCCCAGCTTCCCACTGCCATGATGCCTTCGGATCCCGAAAGGACGAAGTCCCGCTTTCCTTCGGTATCCGGTAAAGATGCCGCAGGGCCATCGCCGAGCATAGAGGCATCCCCCTCCCCGATCTCCTCGTCGCCGCGGTCGCGGCGGTAAGAAGGACCGGAGGCACTGGATCGCCTGCTCTCGTCTTCGAGGGCATCCTGCTTTCTTTTCTTCAAGGGAGGGTGGTCGGGATTCCGAGCCTCTCCCTCGTCGCGGGCAAGTTCACTCCCCCTTGGGGTCGCTTTGCCCTCTTAGCAAAGACCTCGTCCCGAACCTTTCCCGTCTCCTCCCACCCTCTGGGCGGAAAGGTGGCATCAGCGGACTTATTACCCGCCATCTCACCGATCCCCCTGCTGGTGCTTGGAGAAAAAAGCACAGCTCGTTGAGCAGACGTGTCTCGAGCCAAAATGGCCACGACCGTCTATTTCACACCTAGGACATCCACATAGTACTGTCGCACAAGACGTGAAATGGCGCGTGCTGCACCACTTCAACCAGGTCTTGTACGCCCGCCCCTCCAGCACGTTGATGTGTCCCTTGCCCTTAAATCGGTAGCGAAGGAGCTCACGAAATGGCAAAGATTCGGCAAGCTCGCCAATCCACTCAGGGTCGTCAAAGAACTCCCGGGCCTCAACCTCTAAACCCGAAAAACCTAAACCACTAGTCCTAAGGGTCTCTAGGGTGGAAAACCGTTGGGACAAAGGCAGGACAGGGCTCTGTCCACGTTTGGCCTGTGCACTGCCTGCGGCCATGCGGCGGACTAGAGGCAAGGGGTAGCTGGCGGAGAAAGCAGCAAGAGGCTCACCGGGGACCGGATCCCGGCCGAAAACCCCTTTTGCAGAGGGGCGGCAGCGTGAATGGAAAGTGGACAGCGCTTCAGGGGAAAAAGAACCACCTATAACTAAATGAGCCCCTTTCCATTCACACGTGCAGGTGCCCGCGAGTTCAGTGAGCCAAGGCTTTTTGTGTAGCCACTGGAACGGCTTGCAAAACGGAGAGCCGAAAGAACACGAAGTGAAGCGCGTCAGAACAGCGCCAAGCATGGCCAGCCGAACAAAGCACGCCATGTAAAACATGACGGATCCGCCAGGCTGCTCTACAGAAAAGAACCCCCACGCAGGGACACCAAGCAAAACAAGAAGGCGGTACGCCTGGCCAGCGAGTTGTGCAAAGCGGTCACCTGGTCTGCGGGGTTGAAGCCGGCAGGACAAGCTTTGGAGCGCAAGCGTGGGCGCCGCAGCGTGCCAAAAGTCAAGCAAGGTGGGCCTGCATGCCACTCACGAACGACTCTGCGAAGAGCAAGAGCCACGAGCTCATGGAAGACAGCAGGGTCGGCCATGTCCATGTAACGTAGCCGGGCGCCTTGAATGTCAACCCCAGGATGGGCAGAAAGCCCCTGTTCCTTGTGGGCCTGCGTCCAGTTACCTGAGCCCGCAAACAACTCCACAACGTCGTACAACAGACCTTCATGGAGGCATGGGGGCACTGGAAACAGGGGCACCGGCTCTACCACTGGCAACACGGTTGGTCAGCAGGGTCAAGGGGGTCTAACTCAAGTTCCTTAAGGGTTGAGGCAGCAACCCCGTCTAACTTAGTATAATACCCCTTAGCTTCAGCGTGCCGCCAAAGTTCGCGGACCACGGGTTGCGGCAGGGAGACAGAGACCAGGCCAGCTCCATCAGGAGAAGCATCGCAAGCGAAGAGCTCTGGGCAGTAGTCTGTTCTGAGGTCTGCTTGCAGTAAAGGCGAAAGCCACACTAAAGCTTGAAGCTCGGAGCGCGCTTCAGGGTCCAAAGGAAACAACTGAGTTGCAGGCTCGCGACGGCTGTCGCGAAACACGGCTGACAGAACCGCCCACAGGCCGCCGGAAAAGCAAAACATGAATCCACAAACCCAGCAGTGACGCCAGGAACTCAGGCAGAAACCCCGAAGAGCCACAATGGCAGTAATCCAGGCAAGGCAAGCGACACGCACTCTGGGAGCGGCTACAATGCCGGCCAGGCCGTGGACTTCGGCACCAAGGTAGACTCTGGAGGTTTCAGCACGGCGCCGCTTGCGGGGGTGTTGCACAAGGCCGGCAGCGTCGTAGGCCACCTCGGAGGCTTCGAAAATCTCTGTATCCCGAAGCCGGGCTTGGGCCAACAGCTGTTGCTTGGTGAGTATCTGCACACTAACGCGGTCGTCTATCGCCAACATCTCGACCATATCACCCCTTGGGAACGGGTGCCTATAGCACAAGACTTGGTCTGGACGCATCGACTGAGCGCGTGTTGCCAGAAGCATCCAGTGAGAAGCTTGGGCAAACTCAACAGCGAGCGAATCGAGTGCCCGGAGGCCGATGACGTAGGAATCGGCCGAAGAGCAGCCGCGGAAGGCGCGGAAGCCGCTGAGCTCGGCAGCGCTGAACCGCAAGTTGAGACAGTTGCGACGTGCCCGGGCATCACTGACAACGAATGTATAGTACATCTCAGAAAGGTCGTCAGCATTCACGCGAAGCACATGGCCATCCGAAGGCAGGTGCAGCAAAGTCAACAACTGGCCAGGAGACAACAAGCGAGTGAAGCGGCTGTACGTGGCAGTACGCGAATTGATTCAGGATCAAGCGATCCCAACCCGAGTCCTTTGGAACGCAGAAGAGACCCACTTGCTCCCCGGGCCGAACGTCAGTTGCAGGAAAGATTGCTAACGCCCCATGAGTGTCCCACTTCGTAGCGAGAGCCAACACCTCACTGCGGCTGGCGTGAACTTTGGCAGGAGGAAGCTTGGGCCAAGCAGCTTCCGGGAGCCTGAGCGTGTCTGGGTTGAGATAAGCAGCTCTGACCAAAGGGTCGACCAAGTACGGGACTGGATCAAACGAAGGCGGAAGGGACCATTTAATCCGATCGGCTTTCAACGGTTTGCGTGTCACTGAAGCTGAGTGTTTACTTAAGGGAAGAGAAGGCCAAGGTGCATGCAGCGAAGCAGGAGCTGGAATACCGCTAAGCTTTGAACCCTCAAGCGACGAAGACCCTTCAACCCCGGAACCCTCAACAGAGTCGGGCGCCTGCATGGCGGCCGAAGGCGATGTCGGAGGATCCTGGGCAGGGGCAGGTGAAGGGGCAGGGGAACCCGAGTAACCCCAACCAACCTTAAGGGCAGAAACTAATTCACTCAACTCACGGTCCACATTCCCAAGCTCTGGTGAACGAGCGGGCAGTTCCAAGCAAGTTGCGTAAAGGGCATTGAATTTCTCTTCCACACGGCCGAGATCAGAGGAGGACACAGAGCCTGGCCTTAAGAAATGCTCAATGTGTCGCTGCATGAGATGTCCAGCACTCGATGCTGGGAACAAGAGAGCTCGGAGCCGCAACGCGCATGAGGAGGGCAAGTGACTGGACTCCCTAAGGACAACCAGTTAAGTGTGGCTACAGCAAACCTAAGCTGCTCCCGTACAGTTTGGTGGAACCTTCAGACCATCTCCACCGAACCGGTGGGGGCACTGGCCACAGCTCGCCTGGAGATCCAGGCGTCTCAGCGCGGACGCAGGGCTTAAAAGAATCCCTAAAAAAATACCCTAGAGGATGCCTAGCCCCAAAAAAAAACTGAAGACATTGCATGACCCAAGTGGCAAACCCTTCGGGCTGTTTAGGAAGGTGCTTGGGCAAAGGCGGGGTTCGGGTTGTGGAGTGCGGCTTGCCTGCATGCTGTCGCCTCGCCACCAGCCAAGTCCTCGCCGACGTCGGCCTCGACTTCTGCAAGGACAGTCTCGCGCCTGGGCCAGTATGGGTCGGACGACCGTCTCGCCAGACAGCAAAGGAACAGTGGTCAGCGGGCTCCGGCCAGTAGCAGCTCTGCGGAAGTAGGCAAGGAAGTCCCACAGGGAAAGTCCACCAGATACACCTCCACTTCTCCCACAGCTCTCCGCCTGGGCGTCTCGCAAGGCACAGTCGTCATAGTGTAGCCGCCCCCTCGGTACAGCATAGCCAGCGGGCGCCCAGGCGGAGCGCCATCCAGGAGACCTCTGAGGTCTCGGTCACAGTGCCTGCGGCCATTGCCGCGAAGGTCCAGCCAAAAAGGCAAAGGCCTCCGACTTGCTTGCAAAGGCGTGGCTGCCGGAGCCGCTCTCCAAGCGGCCCTGGGCGTCCTTAGGGCGCCCCCTCGAGGATTGATGATCATGCTGGGTCACAAACCCAGCCGGGTAAGCCTGACTCCGCAGGCAGAGATAATAGCGGTTCTTGAGCTCCAGCTTTGATAGGCCCGGGCCACACGAGCTTTGCCAGTCCAGGGGCCAGAGTCGCTCAGGTCCAAAGCCAGGTGCTCGAGATCGCCCAGAAGCAGTCGCCCGAACTCGGCAGGAGTAGGCAGCCAAGAAGTCTCCAGGCGGAGACTTGAAGGGAGGAGCTGTTGCCTCCGAAGGGAGAGCTCTCC